TTGTCTACTTCAAACATTATCATTATGAACTAGTTTTTTGTAAATTGAATGGAGATGATATGCTACAAAAGATGTTGGCTATTAATCATCATTTGATTATTAATCATTTTGATCATTTGATGTCGGTTATTAATCATCATTTGATTGATCCGTTACTTATATTGAAATATTCCATGGTAATATTTTACATCAAAATATTAGGTATTGGAACTTCTGCTGTGAGCTGTGATTTTTAACCAAATTTTTATAATAATGATTGGTATATTTTTTTAGTCGTAGAGGTTGTTGAACAAAAATTTTTAATAAATTGCTGGACTTCAATTTTAGAATATGATCAGGATGAGCGTTAATCTCTTCAATTACTTCATTGACTCGAATTCAATATTCCCAATTCATTCCTTTCCGAATTAAAGCTTACTGTGATTATCTATTCTCGGATTTTTCCCTTTCTTCTCTAACTATTATATCATTTCTATGCTTGATTTAAACGCTGATAATCATTCGCCATTTGTTCAATCTCCACAATAAAACTGTAAAACTTCAAAGATTAAACAAAGGAGAATGATTAAAATAAATCTTCTATTTCCCTGATCTGTCAGAATCATTTTTTTTGCATAATTTTAGGAATACTTTTTTTTTGAAACTGATTCATAAGATAGTTTCTTGAAAGTTGCCGAAGAAGTTTGAGGGAGTGGCCGTTATATTGAGAAGAGATTTGATTGGTACACTAAATGGCAACCCATTTTATTGAACACTATAGTAATATTTCTAGAAGATGTATATATGCTTTTAGTTAAATATGCTGGCTCCACCTTACCGATTCCCTTAAGGCCGCTAAAACGAATTACGATGAAGAAGAGTCAAAGAAGGAGTTGCTGGCGCTAGGCATTATACATCTGTATGTATTCAACAGTTTGCATGTTATGGGACAGCACTGCCCAGTAATGACCACCATTTACAATTGAACTCAATGTGTTACTTGCATTTAAGCTTCATTTTATCAATGTGCTCCATTTTGATCTAGGTCTTTTCAGCGGTCTTGTGCTGTCCCATTCTGTTGCACTACTGTTGTTTGTCATCAACAGATTTCTTAGTGCCTATACTCTCTCCTTACTTCCTCACTTAATAATGCTGCATGCTTTGAGATATCCTTCCGCTTCGCAATAGCATATATATATATATATATTATGTAGACATATATTTTTTTAATTCATATTTATATTTTTACTTATATTGTTAATAGTTGTATATAACGGAAAACATACTTAAATCACATGAACTTCGTTTAAACGATAATTTATTAGTCGATGAAAATATTTGTGTTTAATTAAATTCACATCCCTTTTTGCATCATTTATTGATTTAAAAGTTGTTTGTTAACGTTTCTTTTTCTATTTTATATAATTCATCTTTGCTTTTTTTAAGAAAGCTATTATTTAGAATTTTTTTCACTTCAAAAAATTTAGTAAAAAATTCATTTTATTTCTTTACTAAAATTCATTTTCTACTTTTCCTAAATGTATTGTTATTATACTATTTATACGGCATTTTTCTTTTTATCTAAACAATTTTGCTACATTTTCTAATTATTTTCGATGACTATTACTCATTAACCATTTTAGAATGAGTATATAAGTAAATGAGTATATGAGTATATAAGTAATATACATCAAAAATTCAACATTAGAATTCACTGTGATATAGTATTACTTTTGCTTTCTTTTTTTTTCAGTGAACAATTGATGAAATATGATGATAAAACTTAATGATCATATCGACAAATTGAGAAATAAAATTTTTAGTTGTGATGATTCAGCAGGTTATAGCATGGATAAAATGATTAGCAGAGAGATGGAATGATAAGAATAGGTGGGATATCTCAATTCACAACTAAATTGATTGTTTTTCTGGATATTTTAACTCTCTACTAAATTAATGCTTCTTTTCGTAATAAAAAAAAATTGCTGCTAATATTATTATTATTATAATAATATATAGAAGTAATTTTTTTTTATAAGAATAGTAATTGTACGCTGTGCAGCGCATATAATACGGCCAACCGAAGCATTAGCCATAAAGTAATTGCGCCATTAGGATTCTAACATTTATTTTGTGGTCAAATAGAGCACATTCTATTGTTATTTAAAATCGGAATAACAATGGTAAAGTTTGAATTTTCCTTGTTGATGTTAAAATTTCAAATTTTAATTTGAAATAGTTCTCGAAATGTTAGTATCTCAACTGCAATTTGGTGTTTTATCAGAAAATGACATTCAGTGATTTTATTATTTGGGCGGAAAATATTTCGATTAACTATTAGTACATTAACAATTTATGCGTTTTCCCAACACATGCAGGCCACAATTTGTCTCCAGGCGACCCTTTATGAGAAGAGCTATTAAGGATTTATTAGAGGATATTCACTTAACATTGTTTTGCGCCTAAAGCTACTACTCTATCTTATTTGATTTTTGCGAGATTTATGACTAATGGTTACTGTAATATATTTATTATCTTACAATAATATCGATAATTCTGAAACACACAAAATTCTTTAAATTCTTTAAATTTTGATTCTTTAAATTTTGCAAAAAATGCTGAAGCTGAATGCAACGAGTGGCTGCATATATAGGAGCCGATCGATAAACATTTTTTCTTTTGCAAACTTATACGAAGAAGGAAATGTTCCTAAAATGTTCGACTTCCGTTTTTATGCATGCATTTGTTATAATGTTATTATAGCATACAGTAATCGTTTTGTGTTTGTATTTATGAAGAATTAGGAAGAATTTATTCCTTTCTTACTAAGATATTATAGGTTATAATAAATGGACATAGTTTTTTACTGATACATTCTAAGCAAAATATCGTTGTAGTGGCAATTCTTAAAAATCTTTGAAATGTTGTTTTGAAAATCTAAAAATCTTTAAAAATCTCGTTTTGATGAAATTATTCCAACGAAAGTATGAACATGTTACTTTTTGAATTCAACAGTAATGCGAAGATATCTTGAATCATTTTTTTTTTGCGATTTGCAAGAAAACATTTTTTAAATTGTTGCATCATCTAGAGGATGATCAGAAGAACTACCATGCATCTCTCGTGAGCTTAGCCATTTCAATTAAATCCATGCTGATAGAAATTTCCAGATATCGTTTACCTATGTAGCACACGTTCGCTAAAATTATACATGACATCAGTCATAAATTTTTAAATTCAGGATAAAAATGCATTTCTTTTTGCTTCACCAAACTCTAACATATCATAGTTTTTGAAAGAATTTAGTATTTTTATATTTCATTGCTTCTTTTGATAAATATAAGTGCAAGTTTATTGTATCATTCTCTCCCGTTCCTTCACTCTTAATATTAATAAATTCCATGAAGTATATAAATTACCTTCCTTTTAGTTTTGTTCCATCTAATTCAAATCTCTTCTCTTCCTGATCAATAAATATCATAAGCACTTTTTCTTAGGAATAAAAATTGATTTATCGATTTGTTTTTGAAAATGGAAAGTGTTTAGACATTGGGGTAAAAGTCAATGAAAAGAAATATAGAAGAGTTTTATTTCGAAGATAATGTTTATAAATTATTGATGAGAGGAAAGAGTAATGACAATTAAGATGGAGGAAAACAGGAATAATGTTTCGTTCATTGCGCGACATCCACAATATTTTTTTAGTTCTACATTCTCAGTACTCTTGTAGTGATCGATATACAATAAGAAGCCCAGGATACATTGAATCAAATTTGTCCTCTTTAATTCTCATACTTATTTACTAACTCACCTTTATTTTTTCTCCTTTATAAGAATTGTTTCAAAATGAACTTTTGTAGTTTCCCTTATTCTTTGTCCCATTGTATCGTTAACGAGTGAAGTGTAATTGTGTCACTTCTCTCACAATAATGCAAATTTATTTATATCCAATAGATAATAAGTTATGTTACGATTCTAAAGGATTATGAAGGTTTGACGTAATTGCGTATCATCGCTTGAGTTAAGTGAAAAATTGGTTGTTCTAAAATTTCATAAACTACGGAGAGAAAAAATTTTACGATAGTGAGTGCAGTAAAAGCACTCACTTAAAGCTCTTCAGTTATTGCCTCACAACAACTTAAAATGAAAATTACCAACTTGTTCAATTATTATTTTTTTCCTTTTTTTTCTTCATATTGACGCATCGGTATTACTTTACTTTTCACTTTTAAACTTTTATAATTTAATCGAAAATCAAAAAAAGAAGATATCGAAAAAATCTTCCATTTTTTATTTTCGACGAATGACAAAAATATCAAATTGAATAAAATCTACAACATTAAAAAAGCATTATGTTAAAATGATCATAAAAAATAAATGTGCTAGGAAAATGCATTATGATTTTTCAGTACTAAAATGAAATACAATAATGAATTCATATTATTTTTCACCCGCGTTTGTTTTATGTGTTTCCGCTGCCACTGTTCTTTGATTATTCGTTTACACTGTTTGCAAAAACATTTTGATGTTATAAACGAAAACCAGTAGAATTTTAGCCGCAAATGGAGAAAAAAAAATGCCGTGATGGATAAAACCGTGCTATACCGATCGATAGAGCAGTGAATGGCTAATTTCCCTTTTTTTATCAAGACTGGTTACAGTTTGTCAAAATATAAACAACACTTCGTCGGGAGCAATTTTGTCCGAACTAAAATAGTAGTAGGCTTTCTCCTTTTCTACTGCAGCAATATCAGCCATTGGATAATCCAATAAGAATATTCATTGGGAAGAAGTGAAAATTATAACAGCGTGTGCGTATGATATATTGAAAAAAAAAATTGCTTCATTTACATTTTTCATACAATTAAAATCAATCTGAGAGTCCCAGGAGAGCCCATCAATTACGCATTGAGTGGTTACAACAACTATAACATTATTTCATATGCGAAAACAGAAGGCCAAGCCAAATTTCTGGGTTTTTTCAACAGTTTACATTATTGCTGCGGTGTAACTATTCACGGATGTCATCTTGGCAACAACATACTGCCTTGGATCGCAAAGATTACCTCAACTGCACCGGTATTATTTTTTTTCTCCACTAATTAATATGAAGGGGATTTTGATAATTACTAGTGTTCGGATGGCAAGATTCGGAAAAGATAAGAATAGTAGCTAGTGAGCGTCGTATATTTACACTTTCGTTCAATCTGTATTTCAGCACGAACTTATACAACGAGCCACAACACACAACATCAATCTACGCAAGTTAGCAATACTTTGCTGGACGCAGATAGTCCAATTGGTCAAGGTGGTAGTAGAGCCTCATTGGGGTCAATCATACGGGGTACCAAAGGCCATTTATCCAGTATACTTGGTAGTGTCACACAGGTTTGTCGCTTTCATGCATTTCCGCTTTCAAACACTCATTCACCATTACTCAGTCATTCCAGTGCATTATCTTCAGATCCTTCTTTCAAAACATTTACCTCTCGCAGCAGAAATGCAGTAATTTTGTTGAGAAGTTATCATTTCGATGATGAATCAAGTAATTTTTCAAGCAGTCTTCATCTGTTTTGGTCACTCTATTACATCAAACCTACATTACAACCCCAATCATAAGTCATGAACGATAGTGCACTTCTGGAATTGCTTACTATTAGTTGGTCGTCAACAGTATGTCAAAAATCTACGTCAATGTCGTAAATTAAAGTATTGAAGAAAGGATGCACATATGGAGGAAGAGAAAGTACAGAGTGGAAGGAGAAAATACGTACTAACTGGAAGGGAGAGGTTCCCTCTTCATAGACCACTACCCGTACAACCAGCTAGCAGAATTACACATTTCTCAACTAAACATTGATCTGCAACACATTAGATCGACCGGGACAGGAACAGACAGATTGAAATGGGCAGAGAGAGAAAGTGAGAGATAAGATAGTTGATAGACGCCTGCGAAGTGTCAATCGATTTCACGAATGGTTCAACTTGGAGGGTCCTTTAGTGGTAGTGGGCTTGTCAGTGATATGATATGATATGATATAATATGATGTATGATGTGATATTGTGTGATGTATTCGTAAGATGAAAGTGGAGCGCATGCAAGGATAGGGACGGGGACGAAGGAGGAAAATGTGAACGAGCACTGTGAAGGATTATTTGAGTACTGTGCGCATTGTACTTGTGGATCGCTAAATATTTCAATGTAGGCTTAAATTTGTTAAAATGTGATGTAGGGAACATTACCCTTTATAGAATCTGCTAAAGAGAATGGAGAGAAAGAAAAAAAGAAGAGGGATGGGCAAAGAGGAGTAGGGAAGTAGAAATAGGACGGACAGAAGGAAAGGAATAGTGGACAGACGTGTGTTGATGCCTATTTTGATGACAGTGGCAGAAAGAACAGTGGCAGTCGATGTTAGAACAAGTCTTAGCTGATACCGTCCTTTATAGATCCTGATATTTCCTCAGGTCTCTGAAATTGACCACCCTTTCATTCATATTTTCATATTCAAATTTTTTATGGATACTATCAGGCACACTTCACCCATTTGTCTTTAAAAAAATCGATTTGCTGTCACGTCACATCAGATATGTAGCTGAAATTTGCAATTCTTCCACTACATGGTCAATGCAGAGATTCAGTGTTCCGGGAGAACAAACATTAGCGTTGGTTGTGTCGATGCTTAATACAATGGCTAATAAGGTCACTTTAATACAACGAACATTAACATTCACAAGTTCAAATTGGTATGCATGATGTGCACTGCTACTATCGCGAAATACATGCATCCTCTTCGCAGTTTACGATGGTGCTGGTTAGTTAAACTGCCAATCATCTCAGAGCTATATGCTTGCTCGACTTTAGAACATTCGTCATTGAGATTGAATACATTGGATGGTTCTTCCCCGACGCATTCCTCTTCATCAGACTTTTCCGTATCTTGGACCAAGATCCGAGCATAAAAGCAGCAAAACGATAGCAAGTATTTTCTTCCAAGATGAAAATTGCTGTCTGAATTACAGCAATTGGTCTGGCTAATGGTGACTAAAAGCCTTCTTCCTGAGTCTGCTGATGATTTCTTGCTTCGATTTCCTGAATTCTACTCATTTGACGCTATATAATGAAATGTGCAAATTGGTTTCGAAATGATTACAGTTAGTCCATGTCGATACTTACTGGCGTCCATTTTGCTCCATCTAGCACTGAAAAACATCGTCGGTTTTTTGATTATCTTCCTTATTATCCTAACTATCAGTAATCGCGTATCAATCTATGTCGTACAATGGATCCTACTACGGTTTTATTTTGGCTTGTTATATCTTCTTGATATTTCAACACTGTCACTTTATATAACGTGAAGTTATGATAAATGGAACATTATGAAATATACATGGATTATTTTCTTGAAGTTATCATTGTGAATTTTATCTGTTTAGGAATATTTTAACACTATTTTCTTAGTTTACCCCAGAGAATACAAACCTCGTAGTAGAGGAGTCAATAAATATCTGTTCCGTAATATTCTTCACTGTCTTTGGATGATATTGGAAGACAATTAAAACTTTAGAAATAAGTATTTATTGTCTTCCGAATGAGTATTTATATACTGAAGTAAACGATTATTAGACGTTTTCCGATTACACTTACAATTTCTACTTCAGTCCTTTATGCAAGCAATTTATTAGTTCATTATTTAGCATTCGACAATACATCCAAAAAATTTGCCTTAAATATTCTTCACGAAATGTTGGTAGGGACAATAGTGTGTTCCGAAAGTTTTCAATGCTAAATTTTGTATGCTGAATTAAAAAATCCGAAGAGTGATTGAAAAAACATTTCATATAACAGACGTCATGATCCATTCGACATGTCACCATATTATTAGATGCATGACACTGGATGACCGAAGAGCCCCGATGGCTATAAAAAAGTTTCCTGGACTAGCTGTACATTTTATGCTTAGAAGGAAGAAGACGAAACCATAATACCAACCTTTCCTTAATTTCTAGCTGCTAAGCTTAAAATCCAATCATTCAAATTTCAATATTCCAATTTTTCAGTGCTAAGAAAATTGAGATATCGGAATTCCATGAGCAGTTCCATCGTTAATGCTGTTGATTGCGGAATGTGTCGTAGAGGAATAAAGATACTTCATCTCAATTTTATCTCTTACCTCTCCAATCAATCGTTATATTAGCGTACTACATTTTGAAATCAATAATGAAGTTTATTCACATTGATCTCAGACTTTAGCAATTCTCAACTTAATCCAAAACTACCATCGCTATCTAATTCCATTTTCCTAAACTATTTTTGAAATCTTTTAAAGAAAAAAAATGTATCCTTTCTTTTCCCCACTTTTTTTTGTGATTTGCGATTGCAACTGCTGCTGGATCGGTTTTTCGAGAACGTCAAGATAAAATGAACTTTCTGTCAGACGGATATCATACTTCTGATGAGGTATCATGTTGTTCATCATTGAATTCCCAATAATCCTGTATGCAGTACGAAATGCGAACTTAATAAAATGTTTTCCGATATCTCATCGTAAATTAAATTCACTGTGGCCGTAGACAGATAGCTTCTTGTCTTATTCTATATTACCTGAAAAGTTCCTCTGCAAGTTTGGCTCAAATGCACCTGAGAAAGATGAGCTGGAAAAGTGCTGAATGAGAGCAATATGCTCCTCCTCCTCCCGCTTTTAAGTGTAGCGATACCGGTCGTCTCTCCCTGCGGTTGTTTCTCTTATTGCTTTACCGCTGTAGTCTTATATTGACTGAATTTTGTTGGTTACTTGTTGACAGTGAGAATGTTTATGTCATAATGCAGAAATTCCCAGGGCATTCAATAATTTACTATTTCATTTGTTAAGTTAGTGACGACATATTTATATTGGTCGAATTCATATATAATCTAAATTAGAACACTCATCGTGTATCATCTATATTAGTAGGCGGTTAATATCATCCGGTCAATGTCATTCACCAGGTTCTATCGGTTTTCCACTGCTGGGAGTAACCCAAAGACATAGATATGATTTTTCAATTACTCGTATAATGGATGAGGAGAAAGCAGTTTAGCTTTGAGCGCAACGAACATAGTGCTTATCAATTAGTTTTTATCAAATTTATAAGTAAAATTACCTTTCTATTTTTTGAAGTACCATAATATTGCATTACTAAATGATCGAGGTTCCCTGTCAGAGATGTAGAATTCGATATAAAATAAAGTTTTTTTCCATGTTTTCCGGATTTTCAGTCGGAATCTGATCACCGACATTGTCTAGTTTTTCATTTCTTTGGGTATGTTGTTAGCACGCCGCTCCATGCATCATAATTCTCTCGAAAGTGTGCCATCTGCTAACAATTCCTTTTAGCACATTATCTGTTCAGTTTGTCAATAACTTTCGATATTCTAACTTTATCCTAGTAATATCCGGAAGAATCTTTTAGTTTAAAAATGTTAGGTATCCTTTCTCGATATTCTTAACCAAAACCAAATCAGAAGAGGACACGAAACGCAAACTGTAGATCTTATCTCTATATCCTCTTTTCAGAAATGATTAGAACTTGAAATTTTCCGAGTGAAAAAGAAACATATTTAGAGTAATGGTAAGGTGAAGGCGGTTGAAATTGCTTAATAGCCAGGGAGCACAACTAATTAGAACTTGTCCAAATAATATTGATAATGTGTTTGTTCAGCTGTTTTGCTTTTTTTTTCATTCTTGTAAGTATGCTTACACTTCCTGAATATCCGTTATTGTTCTTCTGACGTAGTAAATATTGGTGTATATGATGCTTTGTTTGCAGTGGCTGGGAAGTTCAAATTCAGGAGGTCGTGACGACTGCGAGACAGAAGCGATTTCGCTCGACAGCTGCGCAAGCGTTTTGGAGCCATCCCATCTTGAAAGGTTAGCTACCTTTGAAGTTTCATTGTACCATGTGAAATTTTGTAGTGAATGGGTTTTTTACTGCATGTAAACATAACTGAAAGTCAAGTTGGCCACAAGAAATCAATGCAAACACAATGTATAATTTCCATTGTCATAAATTCATTAAATCACTACTTTTCTCTCCCTTTTTCCCATATCTTTGTGAAATCTACTTAATCACATTTAAAAGCGACTATCATTATTATCACTGTCGAAATTTTCTTGTCCAAGTGACTAGAAACCAGTTTGTCGTTTCTTTTAGATATATTGTACATCTCATAAACAATGCTAGTAGAGATTAATAATCAATTTTTTCAAGTTGGAAAAGAATTGCTATATATTCTCCTTAGTATCAGCTTTTAAGAACAAGCGTTTTATGAAAAGATAATGCGTTTTCAAGGACATAATGATAGCATTACTTGAGGATAAGTTTCGATGAGACTGTCTGAACGTTGCTATTCGTGAAGTAACCAGAAATAAACAAAAATTAATGTTGGCATGATGAAATGCAGCGCAGTAAGGCGAGAGAGGAAGGCTAACAGCTTTCAATTTATACTATGAAGAAAATTAGACCACATGGAACTACAATTAGTTTTTATGATAATTTCTATTTATCGTACTGCTGGCGGTGCATTTATTTTCCATGCAATCATTTATTACGAGTTGATTCTTTGTACCAGGAATTCTGACCAGAAGGCTCTACCTTCAATACAGTTTGAATTCTTTGGCGAATGATGTATGAGAATGATATTTTTCATCTTTCGTTTTAACTTTATCCTACTATTTGTTCTCAAATATTTCATTCCTTTTTGAAGTTGCATTTGAAGTAGTTTGTTGAAAGATGTGATAATAAGAGGGATTTTAAAACATTGTTGTGAATCCATTAAGCAACTTCAGATGAAGTATTCATGCATCGATTTTCTGTAGTCTATATTAAAGTTTAAGAAGAAATTCATTGAACAGTGAGGTTTTGTAACTTTCAATTGCCTTATCTGAATTGTATTGGATTTCAGCGTTTATCCAACTCCTATGGCTTCCACTTCTGCTGCATCTGAATTTTACAACGTTGACATTAATGACACGCGTTTGTGTGTTTTGAAGCGGTATCAGAATTTAAGGATAATCGGGTCTGGTGCACAGGGTGTTGTATGGTAAGTGAGCAGATTTGAAATCGAATGTAAAGTTAAAAATCATACATCAGTTCATCATGATAATTAGACACCTAACAATTCATTGAATACGATTGGTTGAAATTTAGAAGTTTGTTTGTTTATATCAAGAGGTCATTTAATGAAAGGCTAGTTGTTAAAAATGAAATAGCTTCAGAGAGATTAAAAAAAAAAAGAGTTCGCATCACATATCTATCTTTCAATAGTTATTGTTATAGTTTCACAACACAAATTCCAGGTTAAGATTTAAATACTTTAAAATATTGAACACTTTTATATACGTGATTTATAATTCGAAGTTGCCAAAGAATGCACGAAAGCATATTTGCTTTTTAATTATTTAATCTTTCTTACTAGAAATTTTTTGCTTTTTTCTTTTGTATTTTAAATTAGAAGAAAGGAACGAATATTCATTGTAATTTGTTGTCAAAAGTTATTTTTGACTTGTAAATTTCTTTGAATAAATAAAAAATTGCAGTGCTGCACATGACACGCTTCGTGATGAGCAAGTCGCTATTAAGAAATTGAGTCGTCCGTTCCAAAATGTGACGCATGCTAAACGAGCTTACAGAGAGTTCAAATTGATGAATCTTGTTAACCATAAAAATGTTAGTTTATATTTGAAGTTTTCTGAGATTTCACTTTCTTCCTTTTTCTATTGGGTTTCGGATTAGGATCCATAAGTTCGTGTATTTTTCATTCTCATCAAGTTTTTTGCAAAGGTATTAAAAATCATAGTTTTATAAAATTGTTTGGAATATTCAATAGCCTGTATTAGCGAAAAAATACATTTTAGCACAAGAGAGTATACATTTCAGCTTGTCTTTCATTATTTTTTCAAAATTCAACACTTCTTTTCTTTTTGTAGATAATTGGATTATTGAATGCGTTTACACCTCAGAAAACACTTGATGAATTTTCCGATTTGTATATAGTAATGGAACTTATGGATGCTAATTTATGTCAAGTAATACAAATGGATTTGGATCATGAAAGGATGTCCTATTTGTTATATCAAATGTTATGTGGTATCAGACACTTGCATGCTGCTGGTATCATACACCGGGTTATTTTTTTCTTCACGTTGCCTTATTCATTAGAAAAGATGTTACCATGAATACCGAAGTGCTACTTTTCTACTGCGACAATGTATTTCTTTAAAAAAAGGAGCATTTTATGATTTCAAAAACGAATGGACGATCGGGGCTTCCAAACTGAACAGTTACCGTGTTTAAAATACTTGATGAATTTTCCGATTTATTATATAATAATGGAACTTATGGATGCTAATTTATATCAAGTAATATGAACTTGGATCATAAGAATCGTTTCGAACTGATATTAATTGCTGTCTTTCATATGAAGTTCCAATACATATTCATACTGATTCAATGCTGCAGCTATTTGTTTCTCATAGAAATCTATTTAGGATCTCAAACCGAGCAATATTGTTGTTAAAAGTGACTGTAGTTTGAAAATATTGGATTTTGGTTTAGCACGAAGTGCTGGTGATTCATTTATGATGACGCCATACGTTGTAACACGTTACTATCGTGCACCTGAAGTCATATTAGGAATGGGATACAAAGATAATGGTATGTTTTGCTTTGTGTTTCATTTAGAAATTTTTTATAACGACTTTACTCTTCCCCAAATACAGTTTAGGATATGAAAAGAAAGGTAAAAGGGATCATAGGTATATATATATATATATATATATAAGCATCGGGGTGTCGGATATTGGGTAGTTCATATATTTTCGTTCACTGATCCATTTTTCGACTCTCTCTCTAGCTAATCACTCCTCAAATTACAATGTTGCTTTCACATCCCTAATATTTTGCTTTCAATAAAAAAAAGTAACTTTGATTAAAAAAAAATCAAATAAACTGTTTTGTCAAGCAGCCGAATATGCATACTGCAGTGGATATTTGAAATGGACAAAATGATTTTTAGAACTATATAAACTATATAAAAGGCATTCATTGATCACGGTAGATCACAGTCTTCGAATATAGGCTAGAAATTTTTAAGACTTTTTTTAACAAAGCGCAAATGTGTTATTAATTGCTAGATGCTAGATCAGTTAGTTTTATCCTTATTCTTAAACATCGCTTTTTTTACTGAAAGGTAAGATAATTTGAGTGGTGATCAAACGAAGATAATTCCAATGCATAGTAATTGAGGCAATCACGCATGGCTTCTTAATTTGTTTTTGTTCAAAAACATACCACATTGTTGCATAAATTTGTGACATATTATATCGAGTTTTTTTTTGCAACTATCGTGTCAATTACATAAACATAATTTCATCTATTATCTCATGTTCAAAGGTCTAAAGATTTTTTGATTTGATTCATTCGAAATTTTTAATATTCGAGAAACTATGGTAGTGTTAAATTGAAAAAAAAAAGATCATATCAATAGTTACTTGTTGAATGAATGCATATCTTCTAAAACACAAAACGCCCGATACAGTTATATGGGCCTATCTGTTTTTGCGTTTGAAAAACAGTAATACTAGCAGGAAGTTTTGAAACATCTCTGTTTTGAATAACTAATTATTTTGGTACAGTTTCTCTCGGGTTAAAATGATATTTTGAATAGCTCTGAAAATTTCTTCCTAGCTAACTTCATCATTTACGAGCAACAATTTGACGAAATCATTTAGGCTAGTAAAACAAAATTAGCGACATCATGAAACTTGACTGCACATGTGGCCATTAGCATGTATTTCAAAAGCGTTTCTAAAATCCTCATATTCTTCTCCTGCTCTGCAAAAGAATTTAATATTATTGTCTTTTGCAAAATGTATTGAAAATTTTAGAGTTTTTTTAGCACCGTATTCATACTTTTTTAATTTCAAATAACTTATAACAAATTAAATCAAAATATTTTTAGACCTTTGGATATAAGAAAATGAACGTAGCACAGTGATATGTAATTATGCACATATGATTTACATCTTTGCTTGCGAAAAAAAAGCCCAGAAAAAGTACGAATTAATTCATGAATTTGTATTTTCAACACGCCAAAATCATCCGGCATACAGTGCAAGTTTGCATGCATTGCGGTGTGTGCTGTGCTGTTATGCAGTATGCATAGAGATCCGTGAAATGCAGTTACTGTGTGATATCAATCGTACTCATTGCGGTGAACTTGGTTGGGATGAATATGATAGATATGGCATACACTGTCAACAGATACAATTTACAATTTAATTAATTTCAAAAATAAGATGTGCATGTGGAGATTGGAAAGGCTTTAAGAAATAGTGATGTAAACGTACTTGGCTGATCTATTGTAAGCTGAAGAATGTGTGCCCCTGGCAGACATTGTTTTGGCACTAGTTGCAGTTGATGTTTGGTCAACGGGCTGTATATTCGGCGAAATGATTCATGGTAGTGTATTGTTCCCGGGCAGCGATCATATTGACCAATGGACCAAAATTATTGAACATCTTGGTACTCCTTCACCGATGTTTATGCGTCGCTTGCAATCAACTGTCCGAAATTATGTGGAAAACCGGCCCCATTTCCCTGGTTTTCCATTTGATAAGCTGTTCCCGGATGAATTATTTCCAGCTAGCAGCAGTTCTGACTCACGACTTACTGGTATGCTTATTATTTTATTCTGTATAATATATTTTAGTTGATATATGGTCGATTGGCTGTATTTTTGGTGAACTAATCCGTGGTCGAGTTCTTTTCCCTGGTACGGATCATATTGATCAGTGGTCAAAAATTATTGAGCAGTTGGGAACACCCGGACGAGATTTTATGCAGAAATTGCAAGCAACTGTGAGGAGCTATGTGGAGAACCGCCCTAGGCATCCCGGTCTTCCATTTGAGATTCTCTTTAGTGATAATATATTCCCAAAGCCGGCAACCAACAACGCACTTTGCCGTAAGTTTCAAAACTATTGCTGAGTAACAGAAGGAAAAGGTTTTTAAGAACTCTCTCAGTTTTTAATAACCGGAGCGATAAATTTTTACGGTTGGAAAGGAAGCAAAAGAGTAATACCGAAAATTTTTTTTATGTTGCAAATTTATCAGGTATGCTGAGAAGTAAGCATGAAGGAGATGACCTTGTGCATCTTATCAGAATGAACATAATCTAAAAATTTGCAATCCAAGTCATTCTCATTCCTATTCGAATATCGCAGCACTTGAAAGTGGATATCGTTGTTTTCTTTTAGCAGCGCAAGCACGCGATTTGCTATCGAAAATGCTAGTGATCGATCCCGAAAAACGCATATCAGTTGATGAGGCTCTGAAACATCCCTATGTTTACGTATGGTTCGACGAAGCTGAAGTCTATGCTCCACCGCCGGAACAATACAATCACAGTATTGACTCAAGAGATCATACAGTTGAACAGTGGAAAGGTGAGATGTTCGAATTTGTATGTTAGATTATGATGCCCTTATAGATAGTTGTCCGAGTAATAGCTCTAAGATTTTGTCAATTGTGTATATATGGTTAACTCTCTGTAAGCTTCATTAGAAACTAGTGCATTCGAATATCGGCAGTCTAATATTATATTATATTATATTATATTATTATTATATTATAT